CCCTTCATATTTCAGTTTCTCATGGATAATTTAAGGGATGGGTTATTCTGGTCCCCATGGCTTCTTTGAGATGAGACCAGTACACTGACTTTCCATGCAGTAACAAATTTCTTGATGTCTCATTTTCGGAGCTCTTCTCAATGTTAGTTATTCCTAATGACAACAGAGTATGATTATGATTAAAAATAAATCACATTTTGAAATACTTTTGGTAGTACAATTTACAACTTCACTAGAACTTTAGAACGGTTTTCAATTGAGTGTTAAAAGTAATCAGGCAATTACTATGGTTTGGTTTTGGTTTTACGACACTCATAAATCATGGTTTAAAATCAAATTACTATGAAATTGGCAAACTATCCATTTCTGTCACATGACTTATGACTTTTAAAATCCTCTTGGTATATACTCAATGCAGAATGCTATATTTCAAACACATTATTTGGAACTCTTGTAATATGCATGTTCAGGGTTTCAGAATTCCTGGCTACTGGTTTAATTTGAATTAGCAAATTGAAATATTTCCTGAAAACTAAAGCCCCATTTGGAAAGTGTTCAATTAAGATACAATTGAACCACCCGTAAGTGACCACCCAAAATGTCAAGCCTAGGTGGTTGCTTACGGGAGATGGTCACTTAAGATAGCTCAGACCATATCGAGTCAAAATTTTGCCTCATTAGCATATGGTAACTGCAGAGATTTACCTCGTGTTTTAAATGTTTTTCATGTGAAAAGCCAATTTCAAGAAAAAAATCCACTTCTTCCCATTGAAAAATTTCCATCTCTTGTACTACTCAGGAATGCAATAATGTTACAACACCTTATTATCCAATTTATGCTCTATTATCTGTTAAGTGATCGCTTACGGGAGGTTAAAAACAAAAGGAAATTTCAAACTTTTAGCTCTAAAAATGGGCGCGGTCACTTTCGAGAGGTGGTTGCTTACAAGAGGTTCCAAATATAGCGATTTGACTGGGAAATTTTTGGCATTTTGGAAAACTGGTTGCTGAGGAGAGGTGGTCGCTTACGAGAGGTGGTTGTAACCTCAGGTTCAATTGTATTTATTTGTTTATTTATTTATTTATTTATTTATTTATTTATTTATTTATTTATTAGTATAGGTAATCGCATTACCATAGCAATTTGAAAAAATTCCCAAATATCACAAGTAGTGTTATTTAATTACTTAATTGCTTGAGCTTTCATACGATTACTAATGTATTATAACTGAGAAAATTTTGAAGGTGTACACATTAATTTGCACTTCAGTGCAAATTAAAAATTAAGGATAAATTGGCTTACTCTCAGCCAACCACAATGAAATAATTTTCTCAGTTGTATAATAAATCTGATTATGTATTTAATTATTTAATTAATTATTCAGAGCAGCTTTCAGTTGAGTGCCGAAAGTAATCAGGCAATTACTTTGTTTTTAGTTTTGGTTTTACTTCAGTTGACCCTCATTACATAGTGAAGGAACAACTTTACTGAATTCTACTCCAGTTTCGCACCGGCACTTGATTTTCACCATTCGGGGTAACTGTAGCTGAGAGTAAAAAAAGGACCAAGATGGAAAACTTCTGTCAGTTGGGCAAGAATCGCAGACAAGGGGATCCCTCGTTCAGTTCTTCGTTTGGTTTTCGTGACATTTGGGAAGACCTTTTCAATTACACGACCAAATGTGCTCGCATTTACTGGCTTCAAATCCGGGCAGTTTTCTTTCGCCTGCCAACCATTCACCGAACATATTTCGCACAAGTCCGCACAGGGCGCATAATTTTTCTCTTCCGATTCATTGTAGTTTTCAACCAGCCTGGTTTAAGTCGAGAAACATTTTTCACTGCGTGAATGACACGTACACCATCTGCATTAAAATATTAAGGCTTAATTCAACTTTTGTACTCACCATTCCGTGTCGACTCAATGTTGATACTTTCACATATCACTTCCGTTGCAGCGACGACAGGTAAATCATTTTCCAAAATATTTATAACAATCGTCTTTTCAAGAGGAGGCCATTGGTCCGCCATGTTGCAGCACTTTAGACAAGCGTTTCGACTTCCGGTCTCTTTTTCACATCTTCATTACCTCATTTCAAGCCGAAAAGGACTAGGTACGAGTCTACAAATTATGGGATTAGCAAGTATTGAGCCACATAGTCATAAAGTGCACACCAAGCGTTACGAAATCCCCAAGCTTGGTGCAAATAGACCCAATAGTAAGCAAGATATATACAACCATTTGAAAACATCAAAATTTAGAGTAAAATGTTTGGCCATCCGGACTCCTTGTCCGGATGACCAAATATTTCTGTGTAATTTTGGCGTTTTTAAATGGCTGTATCTCAGTCAAAACTAGCCTGACTAACACTAAACTTAAGGATTTTGTGAATCTCGGTGTGCTCTTTCTGACTATGTGGATCAATAGTTGCTAATCCCATAATTTACAGACTCGTACCTAGTCCTTTTCGGCTTGAAATCAGCCAGGCGATCGGCTCCTCCAAGAATTTGCGAATTTTCCCGCCCGTCCCAGACTTCTTAAATTACGGATCTAGACCTCGCACTAGTAGACCGCGTATTAAAAATTCAAAATGACTGCCACAAAACACAAAACACGCGCGACAAAGGTTGATCTTTTATCCATATTCTAAACGGATGTGAGGGCTCCCTGTGTAGTTGTAAGCTCAACACCAAGTTGAGGCTATGCATTGCACCATATTGAGTTTTTACAAGAGTCCATGTTGTGATGTAGAAGTTTTCGTCGTGTAAGAATGAAACTTGAGTTCCAGTTGATGGATGTCTCTGATGTTTTAATCCACCGAAGAACATGGCCACGCTCGCAACAGTTCCAACCCTGCTTTGTTATTAGGTTTAATAAAGTAAAAAAACAAAGTCGTGGATGCTCATTGAACACAGGATTACCATGTAATTGTCTTTGACTTTTTTTTTTACCTTTTACTTTTTTGACTTTTTTTTTTTTGACTTATTCTTTTTAACTTTTGCTGATCAAGTCTTGAGAACCGGAATTTAAAACTCTAGTTCAAAGGAGACTCGTTCCCATTTCCCTCTATAAGTACAAATCACGCAGCTATGGAGCATAAAAGTTGTAAGGCGCGTCGGATCCTGGGAAGTGGAACTTAGCGCCACTTTGTCCGATTGTTCTTGTCTAGAACAATATCGTACTTTAGTGAACAACAGATACTTAATTCAAGGACTTTAAGATTTATTTGGGGCTCACGTATTCGTCACGGCAGTTGCTTCATATTCCAAAACAATATGCTCAGTGATACGTTCACATGAGAAAGCAGACCACATAGATCACTTGTTTAATCTTCCATACTATGTCAATGCTTTTCAATATCATAGCAGAGGGCGCTTATTCAAAGGAGGGCGTTAAGTCGAATCGTCATGGTAATCAGAAGAAGACAACGATGACAGCCCGAGGGCTACGAATGCATTTGTGATTTCATTTCCAGACGGCGTTTCAACTCTGGGATTTGGAGAACTAATGTTCCGTGTTAAAGAGAAGAAAGGACGAAAAGGGGGGGGGGGGNGGGGAGGGGAGGGAAAGAGAGTAGGATGGATGAGACAAACACTTGCACAACTGTCCCTGTGTCTTCCCCCTAAGAACAACGCGAGTTGACATGCATCACCGATTGGCACCGGCTAGCAACAGGTCGCTGTATTGGCTTTATAACTTGAAAGCCCACATAACAGGTACCAAAACAAATTGCATTTATCGCATTTTATTGTTTCAAGAGAGACAGGTCAGGAAAACTTTCATTTTAACCAGTCTATTTTAAGAGAAGACTGGTGATGTTCAGGTCAATAGTAGTGGAGCAGTTAGACGTTATGATCTAAAGATTAACAGGTAGGTCAAAGCTAAAAGGATTGGCAGGCGCCGCTTCAAACGCGATGTGACGAATAAGGCAGACAGGGCACAAACCAAAACAAAACAGATGAGATTAGATAAAACAAAAATATGCCTTGTAGAAAATTAAACAAGACGAGAACATTTTAAAGGAAGGGAACATCATCACCTCGTTTTGTCTGTTAAAAACTGAAACAAAAAAACGTGCGCTTTGTTACCGAAATCTTCGAGATAATCTTAGCTTGGTTGAGAGCAATCATATTTTGAAACACTTAAATGATTATCAACTTGATTTTCGGATTTAGATTTGCCTGAGTTTAAGGCTTTCCTCAGGGGAGGGGAGGAGAGAAGTGGAGGGGAAAAAGTCTGATACTCAGGCTAGCTTTGATTTGAAGATTACCCGATGTTTTGATTACGTGCTACATTGTAAAAATAAGTAGTTTCGGGATTAAAAATGTGTAACACCATAACCACTGGGAAATCCAAACACTATTTCGTTTTGAAATAGCTTCTGATTGAAAGAGACTGCAGATCGAAGGAAAACCGCAAACTATAAATCAACTTAAATTTCTGCAGGCGAAGATTAAGGAAATTGGGCACTTTGAGGGCTTGCTCTGCCATCGGAACAAAACTTAATGTTGGCCAGTTTCTAAAATGTGAAGATTTTATGTTGGAAATCGGCCAATCTTGTTATACCGTAGCTCTTGTTTATAATTTGATCATGTTTTCAGATATCAGTTTTTAGTCTGTTTCTCATGCATTCTGATTGGCTACTCGAACTCGGGATAGTATTTGCTATTGAAGAATCGTTGGTGACGTCATTGTTTACATTTTTCCTCATTATTACATAAAAATTTGCGCAGAAAAGGCTTCATGCCAGACACAAATATGACTACAAACATTTAAAGAGCTGGTAAAAATAAGTAATTGGTGAAATGTTTGGCTCTTTAGGTGTAATATTCGAGGAGAAACTGGCTTTCAAAAACAGCAGAATGTCTGGGTGGCAAAGGCACTAATCAGCTCATACATTCTTTGTAAATTTTCAGTTTTTAAACCCGCGTCGCACAACAGTACTTAATACATTGGGCTCAAATTCCTTGGGACAGCTAATCGTGCTGTGCCCTTTCAATATTCAGAGGAAATGTTCTTGTTGCTCAGTCAGAAACTGTATCGCTTCCGCTAATGAGGCAAATATTGTAAACAAATTATTTCTTGGTTTCCTACCGTAACAGAAGAAAGCAGCTTAAGTGTTTAATTGTTATTGTTTAGAGGTTTAATAGCGAAATCAAAACAATGAAAATTACAAAATTTCTTACAGCATGGTTTCAAATCAAGAAGACTTTAAAACTCCTTTTGAAGAAAAGTTGACGGAGCAACTTTAAAACAAGTGCCTTCAAAAATTTGAAAAATGTAGAACAAAAAGGCACTGACCACAATTCGCAATTAGTGTGAATTCCCCGGGCAGCAACTTCCAGCAAAAGATGTGAAGACTGAAGTGAATGAACCTTCTTCTCACTGTGCACTTAACTGTTTCGTAATTTCACTAAACTACGATTTCTGTTGTTGATCACTTGGTGATTTATGTGACTGTTCTTGTACTGTTCCACATTTTGCGCACGAATCTAATTGCAAAAGAGTTTTGCAGGCTTCTGAGTCAATTATATTGTTTCTAATATAATTATTCCCCTCAGTGTTGGTCGCTACTGGTAAATATCCACCACTAGCCACCGTACCTCTCGGCTGTGGGTATTGTTGTGTCATACCTAGTCAACCAAAGTTGCATATGTCCATAAACCTTTTTAGCCTCCAGGGCGTTTTGTTGCCTCATTTCAGACCATGTGATGATACTCTTGAGAATTCTTGCTTCTTAGATTTTTAAATAGTCGCGTGTATATGAATGAATAATTTTTATACGGATAAAAGACCAATTCTCTAAAGAATATCCCTGGTCTGTACTGGGAGTGGGAAGACAAACTGCCCACGCTAAAAAGGTCTCTTACAGAGGATCTTAAAACTGTTTCCTTGGCAACGAGCAAGTGTGCATGAGTTACTGACGCTGAAGAACAACTTGCCTTTTTCTTAATTTAACTATGCTGAAAGGAATAACGAATGTGTTATTGATTTAGCTTTTTTGTTTAGTGTTAGACGTACTATATCACGGACAAGGTAGAGAAGACCAGAAGACCTCTGGATGTCACACACAACCCAGCCATGCCTCGACGATTCAAACTTCTCCAGCTTATCGTCCTCCTGACAGGAGTGCTAATGCTGCTTCTAAACTTGAAGCATCCCATAGAACCTGTCACACCGGACCAACCGGACATGCTCCCTTTTCGTATCAACGTCAGAGAAATCCAAGGTGAAATGGTCTGGCCAATACCTGACGTCACTGTAGGGCTGCCTATAAGTCACATCCGGGACTTAGGTGAGAACAAGGCACGTGTTCCTCTTGTGATAATTGTATCTAGCGCGCCTGTCAGGTGGGAGAGAAGAGACGCTATTCGTCAGACTTGGTGGAAGCATTGCAATGCTATTAAAGAGGTTAGTGAAGCATGTTTAACTTATCAGCTTTGAAAAAAATTCTCGTTAATTCTTCATGGGACAGTAAGCGAGTGTACACAACAGAGGATTATGGGCAGCTTTACCCTAAACTGTGTGGACAGCATAAAATAGTAAAGTACTTATGAATCTTGTGTGGTTTAATCCATGCAGGTTGCTTGTCACTTCTATACAGACGGACTAGTCGTCAACAGGAAAGTACAGAAGACTCTTTTGCAAGAAAAATCCCTGTACGGAGACTTAGAATTCCAGCCACTTCTAGGCGGCGTGGAATTTGGACTCCGCTTCTTGTACCACGCGAAATGGGCTTCAGCAAACTATGATTTCCAACACTTTCTTCGAGTGGATGACGACTATTTCGTGTGCATTAAAAAACTGTTGAACGAGCTGCCTCTGCGCCCAAAAGAGAATCTCATTTGGGGAAATTTCCACTGTGAAGCAAACACTTCCTGGATTGACGAATCATGGATGCTTTTCTCACGTGACGTCGTCGGCAAATTTCTGAACCAAGACGCGCGCATGATGCTGTGCCATCCACACGCTGACCAGCAGATCGCCATGTGGCTCAACAATATTTCGAGTCGGTTGTATTTTCATGATGAAAGGTTGAATCATGTGGTACCTGACTCGTTTGATTGGCAGGCGAGGAACGTTTGTGATGCATACATGGGCATTCATCGTGCATTCGCCAAGCGCATGCTCCAGCTGGGAGAGGTCAGCGGAGATGGCTCTAAATCGGTGCCTGCTGTTGCTAACTACACGGAGCATTGTGAATATGACACGTTTGACTACACGAAGCTACACAAGAATTACTTCTACGAACCTAAACCTTGTGTTGAGAATGCATTATGGGTGAAACATCACCGTTTGTGGATAGGAGAGGAAGGGAGGAAAAGAGGTTGGATTTGAAAACTCGAAAATGAGAACCTTGCGAAACATCCTTGTCCCCAGAAGCCGCGCTTCGTTTGGTCAGCACCAAGAATCGCGACCTCTGGGAGGGTCCAACACCGGAAGTCCGCGATTCACGGACTTCCCGTCACTCTGCGCATGTTCAGAGTCAAGTCTGATAAATCTGATTGGCTGAGAATATGAAACGATTCCTCTGCGCATGCTCAGAAAATTGGACCTTCCCAGAGGTCGCGATTCTTGGTGATGACGAAAAGGAGCGCGGCCTCGGGGAACGAGAGTGCTTACGCAACGAATAAAAGAGATCAAAGCGCCTCCAGAACTGAGCAGTGATGCGGGAGATGAGATATGACAGGTGTCGACCTTTGATATCCAAAATAAAAGACAAAAACAGCAAATGAACATGAGGAGTCCAACTTGGTACCCACTATTCTGTTGGAGGCAAGTGATGGTACGGTCCACGTCGTTCAATATGAGACTTACACGAGATCATGACTTCAACATGATGCTTTTTCGCATCGTAAAGACCTGAATTAAACTCCCTAGTTTGTGCACAGTACGTTCGGCCAGTAGAAATATTGGTTTGGTCTGACTGGTCGGTTATCGTCTTGGTTTTATTAGCAACTATATATGAGTAATTTTCGTTCTACGACTCAAGACCAAGTAAAACCTCTGAATAAAAGCTGTCTTTAAATTCCTGAACTATACAGAACTAATATTAATTTGCTAAATTCAACGTCTGTATATGTAAAAAAAACCTTTTATATACGTCCAGCAGTCAATGGAATATACCTTATCACGGTTTTCGACACTATCTCGACGGGAAGGCAAAGTGGTAAAAAATTACAGTGTTTGTATGGGAATCCGATGGCAATTAACTGTTTCCAAAATTGAATTTCACCCAATTTATGAATCGCAACGTTAACATACCAGGTAGAAAATTGCATTTACCAAATTTGAAGGATGTAGCTTGGCTAGAAGACGCTCAATTAATTTGTCTCATTTTCCATGATACATTTGTCTGTAATTTTGTTTCCCGCGAACGGCGTCTACCTAGCCAAATTTACAGACAAATGTATGGAAAATGAGATTGACATACTGCCCTGGTTGTGATCTAGAATTATTGTCCGCTTCACTAGTCATGGCAGTGTGCCATGACTCGAGAGTAGAGAGAGTAATAATAGGGAATGAAAAATTCACGTCATCCATTCAGAAGAAACCGATCGCGACCTGCTCGCACACGTTTTCCTGCGCTCCGCGTTGACTACATGTATTTGCTTACAGTTTTGATTGGTTCACTGGATTGTCTGCGTCTTTTTTGATCGGACAGAGTGATTACTATCAAATAGAAAACTGAGTTGTTTGTTGTTGTTGTTATTGTTGTTGTTGTTCTTTTTTTTCATCTTCGATTGATTGTTGGATTTACTCGAATTTAATCGAACGAATATGGTTCGACAAGAGAGGACGATTTGATACCCCAGGATATAAGAGACTGCATGTTCAATTGAATTACTGTACTGTCAGACGAGTGTCGCGCAACAAAAGGCAGCTCACGGGTTACAAAGTACTCACATCAATTACTTGTGAAATCTATACCTCGAATTGATCAATGAACTCTGATTAGATCATCTCGCAGATTAATAAGTAACCATAGCCCTCTTAACATTGTTGCCCGTGAAATTGTCGAAACGTATTTACTGTTCTTTAACACACTTTGGTTCATTATTGTTTCGAACCCCCTCCCCTCCCCTTCCCGTCCACGCTATGGAAAATAAATTGACCCCAGTAATTAAGATAATTAGAGCTTCCTGTGATACTGAATCGCCACAACAAGCACAGACAAGTCATTCTATTTTTACCACATATCGCGTTACTCCAGTCACTCAGTAAAATTCCAAACATCAGTTCAGTCTACTACATCGTCTTTAAACGGAAAAAAATCCACAGTGAGAGAGCAGATTAAAGAGTAAAGATTACGTTTTCAACATCAGTGCATTTTCGCAGTTTTCTGGTGGCAGCTGCAACGATGAAACAACAAAATAGAGAAGAGAAGCATGCGAAGAAAAGACAGACACTGGACCGCTTGTGTTCCGTGTCAGGTCTGTTGTTGTCTGTTGTGTGTTGCATCGCACTAATTCACGTGGAAATCAGAATACAAGAACATCATCGACTGATATCACACTCAGTGACATTCTGTGATAAGATGGAGAGAGAAATCCTTCGA